GTGCGTGGCCTGCTGGTGGCCACGGGAGCAGAAGCTCGCAGTGTTGTACTCAAGCTTTGGCAGCACCTGTCTCAACAGCTTTGACTGAACCTGTGTTTCTGCTTTTGGTGGTTTTGGTCTGTTGTTGATGACAGCAGGGGTATTTACACATCCTTACTGCAGTCCTTGTCTGTGGGGACGCTAAGATTCCATTCTATAGTCTTGTCCTTTTTTGTATGGCAGAAATTCTCAGAGCCTAAGGTGCTAGCTTAATACGTCTCATTCCCAAACCTTTATCTCTCTTGTTTGTTGTTGTTATTCTTTGTTTGTTAGTTTCTGAGACAGGGTTTCTCTGTGTAGCTTTGGATCCTGTCCTGGAACTTGCACTTTAGGCCAGGCTGGCTTTGAACTCACAGCGATCCGCCTGTCTCTGCCTCCTGAGTACTAGGATTAAAGATGTGCACCTCCACCTCCCAGCTTCACATCTTTATCTTTCCAACAAAAGCAGATTTTCTTTTAGTGTCCTCAGCCTCTTCTTTGGGGATGTGGGTAAGACCCCAGCCCTTGCACTAAATACAGGCCCAGCACTGAACTGCACCCCAGCTCCTCGCTCACTTCAAACCTTGTAGTCTCTTCTCCAAAAGCAATCCATTCCACTGCCTTTCTTATTTCTCTTCATCGACGATGCTATCTCTACCAGTCAAATCACTTCTGATACACAGGCTTCGAAGACCAACCTTTTTCATTTACGTTTGTAATGTAAACTTGGGAATCTGAACCTAAACCCTTTTGTATAAAGCAGGTCCCATTTACACTGGCTAAGAGGAATTTTTATACAAATCTGTAAATATCAAATCCCTGTTGCTTATGAATATTCATTTATTTTCTGCTCAGTCTTTTGACCTGAAGACATAGCAGACCAATCAAACATTAGCTGACGGCACCTGCTCTTCACTGTGAATGTGAACTGTTCTAGGGAGGCTGTGCTGCCCTAAACTTTCATTTCAGACGTTATACAGGCTTAGTTTCAGGCCAGCTTGTCAAATATGTGGCATAATTCCAAAATACTGAAGACAAAAATCATAAACTGCCTTGTTTCTAAACAATTTGGTTGTTTCTTGATCTTGTCCTAATAGTGTATTTGATCTAACTGTTTTTGACTTTCAGATGTAACATTTATTCATGAAGGAAATAAAACATTCTTGGATAATCTCGTCAACTTTGAAAAGCTGGTATGTAAACTTCACGACTTCTCCCTTTTTCTCTCTGTAAGGGAAATGCATGCTTGTCTTTCCTGAGCACCCCCGGGGTCTCTGCTGCATATGTGACAGGATCATCACTAGGATGCCAAGATTTTGAGAATCTGCCTTTTATTCTTGGAAATAGCGTGTCATTAGCTTAGCACCAGTGACTGGGTAAACCTGCGGAACCAGGCACAAAGGCGTGAGGAGGGGCCGTCTGTCAGGAACAGTTGCTGCACAGGTGTCTCTTGATGCCCCCAGTGTAAGCCAACTTGAGAGAGTGAGCAAGAAAGTCCTCCCAGGTAGATGTGTCTGTCTTCTAGAACCCCGAGTTTAGATATGCACCTGAGATTTGTGGGTTCTACAGGTGAGGGGAAAGGCCTCCTCCTTGTAGGCCCTGCTGCAGGACCTCCCTGCTGATGGCTGCAGCGACCTGGCCGCGCCTCTTGTATGCATTCCTGGGAAGCTTCTCCCTAACCACCCTGCCAGAACAATCTCAGGGTTATCCTCAATGGGCCTGAGTAGGTGCCCCACAGCAGTGTCCCACACAGACAGCCTAGTGACCAGAGGAAGGCGTTTTTCTGACAGATGACCTTTAGCGTCATAGATGAAATAGTCCATCATGGTCAAAGGTGATCCCAGCGCTCCTCTCTAGAGATGCTGACCTTTGACTGGACTTTTCAGTGTTGACAATGAATTTACATGAGCTCTTTTAGGAACCATCCCAGCTGCTTGAGAGACGAGAGTCAGGCTTCAGAGAAGGTCACTTGAGGTTGACGCCCCAAACCATATCCTGAACTGTGTGAAGAGCATTCAGACTGGAGTCTCCCAATGATGTCTGGTGTCTGACCTTGCTTCTTACCACTCCGCCCTAGTCCCTATGGTTCCCAGGATGCCAAGGTCTTCGGCACACAGGGAGGGCGAAGTCATCTCCTACCCACCACCCTAAACCCAGACTACCAGTGTCTGCAAAGAGAAACATCCTCCCAACCTCGCTCTGTGACAGCCGTTAGAACTCTGAAGGTGATGGCTTCATGCCTAGTTATTTTTGAGAGCTGAGAAGGAGACATGTTTTGTTTTCCAGTCTCTCTAGTTTTGCCCTGCATATTGTAGAACTGGAGCTTAGGTGCTTCACATGCTATAGTGAAGCCAGCAATGGAATGTGTAGGGATTCTCATCTTGTTTTGTTCTGTTCTGTGACTCCCTGAGGAGCCCAGCGTGCCCATTAGCAACCAAAGTCTCAATCACTAGAATCCTCAGCTTAAGCAACTTTTTCTCAGTGTTTGGTATTTATAAATAATCACAGGAATAGGAAGCTGTTAATCAGAATTTATTTTGTCTCCTGTCCAACGTGTCTGTTTCAAATCACCGGAGGAGCGTTGTAGGGCATATGTGAAGTTATCGTCCGGCCTGGAAGTCTGTGGGTCCGAGGCATTTTCGGCTCTCACAGATGCAGGAAAGCCACTGCACCCCTTAAAAGCTGTTGCCTCTTACGAGCAGACTAGGAGTTGACCTTCACCCTAAAGCCAGCAGTGGCCTGGCTACATTCCTTGTGCCGTTTGTCCTCAGATAATGTCACAGCAGTGGAAGAACTGATCCGTTCAGGCTCAAATGGACAGAGCCATGGGACGCTTCAAGCACTGTTTCCACCTCTCCTCTCATTGTCTGCTCTTTTTGCTTTCCCGCCAGTAGAGCCCCAAAGTAGGGACTGAGATAAGGTGTAAATACTTCACTACATCTGTAAGAAAGTTTAAGAAAATAACATAGAAGCTGGGCATGAGTCTATAATCCTTCCTGAGTGCTGACTCAGGAAGTGGGGTCGAGGGTTGTCACTGGCTCAAGATCCCCCCGAGGTACATAGTGAGTTCCAGGCCAGTCTAGGTGATAGTACAAGATGCTACCTCAAACAAGTGAGCAAGCACAGCAGATCCTTGGCCATCAGATTTATCATTGTGTGTGTGTGCGTGCGTGTGTGTGTGTGTGTGTGCGTGTGCGTGTGTGCGCGTGTGTGCGTGTGTGTGCGTGTGTGTGCGTGTGTGTGTGTGCGTGTGTGCGTGTGTGTGTGTGTGTGTGTGTATGTGTTTCCTGCTCTCACACTCTCTACCCTTGAGAGAGGGTCTTTCACTGAACCTGGAGCTAAACTGGTGGCCAGCAAGTTCTCTTCTCCCGGTTTCCCGCGGTGCTAGCTTACAGGCACACCCATGGCCATGACAAGCTCCTTGTGTGTGTTCTGGAGAGTTGAATTCAAGCCCTCATGCTTGTGCTGCAAATGATCCTGCTCACTGAGCCACTCCCCGTGGCCCTTGTATGTCATTTCTAAAGAGGAAACTCAGCAATGATGACCTGGTCCTCAGACCACTTGGAGAGCAAGTGGCTCTTCAAGCTCAGCATCTTGTGTCCTTCTGTGTGGGAAAGACAGATGAGATAAGAATTTTTTTCAGAAAGACAAAAATCAGTTTTTCTTCCTATTTTTTAAGACAAGGTTTCTCTATGTTACAGTCCTAGCTGTCCTGGAACTCACTTTGTAGAGTTCAGGCTGACCTCGAACTCACAGAGATCCTCTTGCCTCTACCTCCCAAGTGCTGGCTGGGAGTAAAGGTGTGTGCCACCACCACCCAGACAAAAATTAATTTTACTTAGGCCGGTGTTCCACTCAGGAGCTGAACCACCTTCATGTAGACAACATTCTTAGAGAATGTCTCTTAGCAGAGGACAAGGTTCATTGAAGCTAAAACAGGGTCATCTTTCACAGTAATGAACCAATGGGACCTAAGTAAATTAGGATGAGCAGCCAGTTTCTCATGGTGGATGTCAGCGTCGGCCAACCAGCAGATAAGTCCGAGTGTGCTCTTTGTCTGGCTGACACAGGCCACATGCAGACCCGGAAGTGCTCGGGAAGCACACTAAGAGTCCTGTTGTTCCTGTGCTAAGTTCCTAGCTGCCTCAGCAGCTCTGAATGCTTCTACCTCACACTATGAAGTGTCAAAGGAGCAGAGGGTTCTATCCTTTTCTTTTTGTCCCCAATATTATGAGCATGATCTTTGACTGCGTCCACCTCCCATCCTGTCAGAAAACTCAGAGGTGGGAATCAGGACTCACAGACTTGAGCCTCACGTCAGCCCCAGCCTTTCAGGAGCTGAACAAACGGCACAGAATAGCAGTCGGTGTGATGCCACAGGCTGAAACAAGGGGAAATCTGGCCTGGGAAGGAAATGTAACAATACATCACACAGACGTGAGTCAGGTCTCATTTCCTCTTCAAATGCCGCCTGGCTGCCTCACTGAATCACCCACCATGGATACTCATCGAATGAACCCAACTACAGCTGGGAAAATTCAATCAGACTGTTGGATTCAAATAGCATTTCTGTCATTCTGTTGGATTTTAAGTGAGAAGGGTTTAGCATTGGTGTTATTCTTTGATCGCTAATTCAGTGTTTGTCCTCTGTGGGTGCTACTGTGTCTGACTGCGGCAGGCAGGTAGTGAAAACGGTGCTTGGAGGACCAGATAATGGATGGTATTGATCCTTGAGTAATGAAATATTTGGATTTTGATTTGAAACAAAGTAAGGTGTTCTGTCATTCTCCAGAGAATAGGCCCTGCTATGACAACTGTGTTATAATACTCTGGCAGCTGTGTAGAAGGAACTATTCATAGCAGAGGTTAGTTCTTCCAAAAAAACTCTGTTTCCCACCATTGTGGAAAAAGTGGGAATAATGGAGTAAGCTAAAGACTATTGGAGGGACACGGGTGTGAGGTGAGGGGATCCTGTCCAGGCCTGGTGGTGTAGGTCTGTAACCTCAGCTACTCAGGAGGCTGAGGTGCGAAGATTGGGAGTTCTAGGCCAGCCTGGACAAGCGGGTGAGACACTCTGGGCTGTGGTAGCTCAGTAATAGAACACTTTCCTAATATGCACAAGGCCTAAGTATGGTCTCCTCCCCCCAAAAGCTGTACAGTTCAGATAATTTTAGCCTAGAGATCAGTGAGAAACTAAAGGAAAGAAATTAAAGTAGAATACTGAAGACAGGAAGGAAATATAAGTTATAAACAAAATGACCTTTGTAAAATGGTGATGTTGTCACTTTTCTCTCATGAGTGTGTCACTTCCTATCACTATTTCAGCCCTTGAATCCAAAAATGTGGGCTGATAGATGTGGTTCAGTTAGTGGAGCTGCCAGCTCAGCATTGAGGAGTGCCTGGGCTTGAGTCCCCAGCGCTGTAGCTGGGGCAGTGGCACACATGCGAGCCTGCGTCCTGAGTACACAGTCACAGGAACAGAAGGTCAGGGAGCGTAAGCTGTGCTCCTCAGAAGGTCAGGGAGCATCAGCGGTGCTCCTCAGAAGGTCAGGGAGCGTCAGCGGTGCTCCTCAGAAGGTCAGGGAGCGTCAGCGGTGCTCCTCAGAAGGTCAGGGAGCGTCAGCGGTGCTCCTCAGAAGGGAGGCTTGCGAGCCTGCGTCCTGAGTACACAGTCACAGAAGGTCAGGGAGCGTAAGCGGTGCTCCTCAGAAGGGAGGCTTGTGAGCCTGCGTCCTGAGTACACAGTCACAGAAGGTCAGGGAGCGTAAGCGGTGCTCCTCAGAAGGGAGGCTTCAAAAGGGCTTCATGAACACAAGACAACAACTCACCTTCAAGGAAAACACAGGCAAATGTGGGCAGGAAATTGGGGGCAGTCGAGAGAGCATGTTCTCCGAAGGTCCAGAGTACCTCCACTCTTTGGGAGCCACTGATTTTGCTGACACAAACTCAATATTCTTGAATAATCCAAGCTTAATATAATCAATAAACTCATGTCCAGCTCCAAGATGAACTTTGCGTTCTGTCCCCAGGAGAAGGTTGCCCTCTGCCCCTGCAGACACTGCCATTTCAGCCGGTGACCCTTTGCTGTGCTCCTTCTTCTGTCTTTCAGCACATGATTGCAGACACCGTCCGGACCCTGAGACACTGCAGAAGTAACCAGTTTGGTGAGTACCTGAAGTCGGGGTACGATGCACACTGACTTCTCAGGGATACTGTCGCCATTTAAGAAACACTTAGGACCCTGACTTTAAACAGATTATGAAGCGTATGTATGAAGTGCATGATGTCTTTATATTCTAGATTTTCACAGTTTTCCCTCCCCACATACTTGGGATGTGGTGCAGCACCGCCCCCCTGTGCATGCAAGTCTGCACTGTCCGAACTGGCTTCAGACAGACCGTTCATTCACCATCCGTCCCTTGTCCCCTTTGCTTGCCCAGTCCCCCAGATTTACTGATGGGTTTAGCAGCATAGCCCTGCCTCCAACCTCCTTGCTTGAGGACATTTCTGGAATAGGTGTGTGGTTTATGGCAGTGCCTAAAGTAGCCTTCCACTGTTTTTTATTCTTTTCAATCCAAAGTTCTCAGCTGAGAAAGTCTTTCTTTTCTGAGCACTGCTGTAGAATCCCCTCAGAGAATACATATGTAGTGATATTTTCCCAATCTTGGATAATCTACCTTGTATTTAAATGGTGTTAGCATTCGCAGGAAGGGAAGAAATTGCCTTTGCTAGGTGGATGGCAGAATCCTACTCACCCTAGGGAACAGGCATCCTTAGCCCTGCAGGTGCAGAGCCCAGAGCCAAGGCTTAGAAAAACTAACTCATGAAGACCTGGCTTCCCTGCCCAGTCCATTGCTTTGCCCTCTGCTGATTCTATGTATAGAAATAGTAATTTGTAAAAAGGGAGAGATAGCCAGGTATGGTGGCACACCCCTTTGATTCCAGCACTCAGGAGGCAAAGGCAGGCCAATCTCTGTGAGTTTAAGGTCAGCCTGGTCTGAAGGGGGAGAGGGGGAGGGAAAGCAGAAGAGAGAAGTGTGTGAGGAGAGCTGCAGACAGACCTTTGGGAGTTAAGGACACTTGCTGAGCTTGCAGAGGACCATGGTTCAGTTCCCAGCACCCACATGGTAACACAATCATCTGTAACTCCAGGTCCAGGGGATTCAACACCTTGATGGATGTCTGAGGGCTCCTGTACACTACGGTGCACATACATACACTCACTGAGGCACACATACATATACATGAAATAAAATACAGTTCAATTGTTATAAATCAAAGATGGTGGAAGTAGACCTTAAGTAATATATCTTCATTACAATTTATTTCAAAAACACTACATATTTAGAGAACCAGAGCCCCTCCTCACCAAAGAAAGTACTCCTATTTGCTATGCATGCTTTAAATGTTTTTTCTATAGTGTACTGCTCGTGACTGTCAATAGTATACCCCAGCAAATCCAACTGGGAACTGAGCTTCCTATATGTGTTATAAAGTGGAGAATGAGAATTATAAAATACAGGGTCTAATTTTCTAAATATTCAGTTAATACCACTTGCTATGCACTGTAAAGTTCTCACTAAGTCCACAAGCACAGCACTTTAACAACAGGAAGCGGCAATGTTGCCACAAAGGGTCCTGCAGACGCCCAGCGTTGCTTACTCATGAGTGTGCATGCAGATTTTTCCCATTGGCCTTTGCTTCCAAAGTGATCACCAAATATTTAGCTAATTCTAAAACTACCAGTCTGATTCATTAAGGACTAATAGTTTATGTGTGTTCCCAGTGTGGGCAAGAGGGTCATGCCGGCTTGTCTGACGAGGCTTGACCCTTCCACAGGCTTCCACCAGGGCTCTGCACAGCGCAAAGTAAAGGAGAAATTTAGCTGTCAGGTGTGTTCCGAAAATTAGGCTGAGACTAAATTATCTGACCTCCTTTTAACACTTTCTTTTTATGAGCCTCATTAACAATGTTAATATGTGGGATAAAGTAAGAAATCGTCACTCCAAACAGCTATACACTATGGAGTACCGTGCAAGGACCAGTGTGATTGTTGGGAATGTTTGTCCTGATAGCTTTTGAATACTTGCAATTTACAAACTTATCTGTCCAGCCTGAAAGCTTTTACCAAACAAAAGCAATTTCCCAGTGTCTTCCAGAAGGCATTCTAGAATCACAGCTTACGGGTACAGTGCTGAACTGCAGTGTTTATTTGCTGAGGCCAGGGAGTCCAAGAGCTAGAAACCACCTGTGATGGACGGCTCCTAAATTATTTCCTTACTAAACACATTCTTCATCGAAGAGGGAGAGGCTGTTTTTGCAGCTGCAGTAAATGCTCCTTTGTGGGCACACTTCCTCTGAGACACACCATGCCCTCTCAGCCAGTTCTCCTCTTCTCTATGTGGGTTCTTTTTTGTTTGTTTGTTTTTTCTCTGTGGTATTGTCCATGCACTTACCTCGGGATCCTGGCATGCGAGCACATAGCCATAGCTCACTAAAGTCTCTCTCGTGGTCTTCTGACTCTTTTACCTCTTCAGATCGCCTTATCCTCCTGGGTAGACTTTAGACCATTCCTATACCCATTCCTGAGATTCTATTCTGTGGTATCTCTTCTTTCTTTTTTTTTCCTCCAAAAAATAAGGATACCAAAGATATTTTAGAAATCTAAAAGAGAAAGAAGTAAAGATAAGTAAATAACTTAGTAAGCTATTGTGTTCAGACGCTGATTCCAAACAGTTCTAAGCTGAGATAAGAAACCACAGACCAGTGCTTAGGAACCACTGGGCCTGGTTCGCATCCTGTGGTTAGGCCGTGTACTTGCTGAGTTTCCTCATCTGTAAAGGGTGACAGCATGACTTTAGTCTATTAGGTATATACTGTGGATGCCTTGCCAGTCAGCCTGCCTGATCTGAAGTGCCTCATCTCTGGGAACCAGGTTGCCGCTGGTAGAACTAACTTACTCTGAACCCTTCGCGTGGCTTCACTGCATTAGTAGTACCACTGCTCCCATTGCATTGATTGTTTTCCCTCTAAATAACTAGGAAGTGACATGTCTCCAAAGGACCAGCAAGAGCTGAAGTCCTATGTCAACCACCTGTATGTCATCGACAGCCAGCAGGCCCTGTTCGAGCTCTCTCACAGGCTGGAGCCCCGGGCCTGAGCCGTCCGTCTGTCCTGGGACTCGAGCACTGAAGGCGAAGGGAAGGTCTCCGTTCAGCATGCTGCTCTGTGGGAAAAGAGCTTGCTGAGTTCCAGCAGCAAACCGTGAGACAAGCGCAGGAAGCTCGGGAAGTGATGCCAGCTACCAGATGCGGAGAGTGCCCCTCTCCCCACCTCTGCCATCAGCGAGAAGATGGAAGGAGTCAGAGCATCCTTGGAACAGGGTCTTTCTTACGATGGTGATTTCAATCCAGCCCAAGTCTCAGCTTACGGTGTGGCAGCATTAAGAGAAAACATGTCTTAATATATAGCAGCCAGGATTGGTTTTTGTTTTTTTGTGTTTTTTTTTTTTTTTTAGTAAGATTGTGTGTAGCAGGGAGGACTGCCATTCTGCCTGTATCGCCGCCTTACTGCCTGGGGGCCATTAAGAGACCTGAAGACAGCTAGAGCATCTCCAGATGGCCCAGGAGGAGAGGCTCCTGCAGCTAGAACCGGACATCACGCTGGGAGGCGTGTCCTGCTGTGCAAATAAGAAATGCCTGGCACACACTTCTTTGCATCCACAATCATTTACCAATGTAGGCACAACGTAGGCACAGATGAAACTAGTTTCTATACCTGATGCACTCCTGTAAGCAAGGTAGACCAAGTTTCTCAATAAGGTACTTGGCATTGTTCAGTTTCTGGAAACTTACTGTACATGTATTTTTCTTGTTGTTGAGCTCAACATGATTTTCAGAAGAACATGGGGCCAAGATCATAGGTGCTCGGTGTCCACTTACTGAGATCACAGGATCGCCAGTTTCTGCAGTCCTGTCCCTGATGCAGCTGTAGTGTTTGGCATAACTCCACCAGACTCCCTGCCCACGGGATGCAGCATGCCTGCCTGTAGGGGAGGGCAAGTGAAGCTGGATATAATATAGCTTAACAGTTGGGATTGCCAGTCTTTCAGGAACTGAAAAGTACCCAGAAATGCCTAAAATCTGACTTAATTGGAGAGTCAGAAGCCCCGCAGTCCGCTTCCCAAGGATAGCCAGAGCCTTTCTGCAATTCACCCATTTCCTTTTCATTCCTTGTTTTTTAACAAATTGGGCCTCATATACCAAATAAGACCTCTGGGAATTCTTAAGGCCTGGTTAAAGATTTCCCTGAGTCCTCGAGTAAGAAAGAGCGTGTGGTTAGAACAAGGCTACCTTGTGCTAGCTGTTCACTCCCCTGGGTGCGAGCCCCCCTCTGACGCAGCAGGTCCGCGTTTCCCGTCATGAGTGTGGGTACACTCCTCACACCCCCGAGGGGCTGATTGCTGAGTGTCCGCACAGACCTGCTTACTACAGTCCCTTACCCATTCTCATGGCTGAGACTACGCTGTGCCCCTTGTCTCCTGATTGCTTGAGAACCATGCTATTTTCAGGTCTTGGGACCACAGTGGGCCTGAAGTACTGATAAAGGGAACTATATGGAAAAACCCTGGGTAGAGATTTCAAAGGGATTGCATCTAAACCAGCATGTAGAATGTTCGTCCTAGAAGCTTACAGGGTGTTATAGAAGCATTGCAACTAGGACTGGCTCACTGAGAAAATGTTTTACGGGGCTGAGAACCAGTGGGTGAGACCAGAGCCACAGAGGCAGGGAAGCAGGCTCTCCTGATGTCTAACCAAGCACAAGCGCGCACAAGGCCTGGCAGTCTCTGAGAACAACACAGACTGAGAGCTCAAACACCTGTCCTCCTCCAGGCCAGCAGCCAAAATTCGGCTAGTGAAATCACACCAGGCCATTTGGTCTTGTCTCTGTTCTAACCTAATGTATGACGTCAGCTCTACGCTGCTTTAAACAGAACCTTCAGGACTCACTGTATGTGGAGATCTGTGGTAGTAGAACACTGTCTGTCTAGGCCCCAGTTCTGCTAGGCTGTGGAAGCCATGCCTTCATCATGCTGAGCACACTCAGAGAATCCAGCAGGAGATGGATGGGGTCCAGGCCAGGACTGCATGGGTGAGGCTGCTATTCCCTCCAAAGCAAAAGTCAGGTGGGATTTGTTTTGCTATCCAGTCTCCTGAATATCTAAAGTCTCTAAATCTTCAACCTTAACACCCATGTCTAGGAATTTCTCAGGCAACAGATTCAGGGACTTCAGAAGGTTTGCAGAATCTTAAATCTGAAGTGAACGAACATTCAGGAACTGTCAGAGCCCACGTGTTCTACAGCAGCCGAACACTGTGAGACGTGTGTCCAGGAGTCAGCAGCATTCCATGCCTGGGGTGACCTGGTTCCTTCTCTAGAGCTTCCCCTGGGTCTCCCCAGAATCAGTATTGATGTCCCTAAATCCTGTGTAACTGGGATCTTCCCCAGTGAGTGATGCTGGACTTCTTTCTCAGAGCACAGCCCTCTAGGGGACCTGTGGATCTCTGGACTCCATTTCTGCAAAGCAACCGCACTTGCTAGTTAGCACAGGAGGCAGAACACTTGTTCATCAAGGGAAAGTCACCAACTTTCCAAATCCTTTAAAGAATATACAAACACATTTGCAGATGCTCCCTAGCCTACGGATTTGAAATTCACTTTGAGTCTGTATAATTGCCAAATGGTTATAGTAGCACACAGTATAACCCACATCCACTCTTTTCTAGTATCCTTAATTGCATTGAAAATATTTTCCTTTTCCTACTCCGATATCTACAAGCAAGTAGTGTGGCACATACCTTGACTTTAGAGGCATGAGAATAAAGTCGCATGCCTCCTAGTTTGCAGGGAGATAGGTCCTCCATAGGTGCACAGTCGCCTGAGTGAGGGATAAGCGGTGTGGGCAGGTGGCTGCTTGTATAGACTTCTGGTCCTGGAGCTGCCCCTTGACGCTGCGAAGTCCCAGCCCTGTGGGTTTGCACAGACAACACGTGCACTGCAAACCCGGAAGTGAAGAGCACAACCCACCCAAGCTTCTCAGAACTGGGCAAAATGAATGTTTAGACTACAAGGGCCACCGCAGCTGTCCAGCATAGGATTTCTTTTCCACTTCAAAGACATGTCCTTGAAATTTCAGCCTGCTCCTTACTAAGTGGGCCAGTTTTGCTCTAGAGAAAACACATTTTGAAAAATTGCCAAAAAGTCAGATGAAATGTACTACTGTATAAAGCCAAGCTGTATATACTAAGCATTTTTAGCAGAGTGATATTTATTTGCATAGCCTATTTATTGTATTCATATTACATTGTTGTTAAATACCAGGATGAAATCAATGATCAGAAGCAAGGACTCTTGCTCGGGACTGCTGCAACATTGTCAGCTCGTGATAACAATTAGACGCTAGGAAGCCCACGGTCCGGGCATCTACCTAACTTCTCAGGGACTACATCTCGTAGTTTTCCACCATTCTAAGAGCTGGTAAATATGAAACATTTGTTGAATTACCAGACTGCCATTGACAGTGTTTGCTTTCTGCCTCTGTGTATATGACTGTGCTGTGTATTTATCAAAGTAGGAAGCAATAATTTATATGTAAAAAATGGCCAAGCAATATAAGGTTAAAACTATATGAGTAACCATTACCTGATCTTGTATTTTCAAGTGTTTTTTTTAAGCTGCTTTTTCAAATATAAGACTATGTTAAACATACCACTCCAAGCTGGGCTCTTCTGTCTTGTGTCTATGGGCCTGTGGCCTGTGTTCCAGCATCATCTGGTGCTCTGTCTAGAACTCAAGCTTTCTCTCTGGAAGAGCTGCAGGTAAGTGAAGGGCTGCAGGAACCCAGGCCCCTACCCTGCTACCACGCCTGAACGCACCAGAGACTCAATACCTCCTGCTGGAAATGGCCTAGGGGCTTAATCTGAGCCTCGGAGAGTCCCAGAGACACTGCCAACAGCCCACTGTCCTTGAGTTAACTAGGAAAGAAGAGAAGTACCAGACCTAGGGATTCCTCTGCCAGGATGGAGGAGCTGCGTGGTGGCTGTGGAGGTCTCTGGTGGTGTTCAGGGAGGTGGGGCAGTTGTCTGCCAACGCCGTAGACTGTCAGTGCTTCATGCCTTCTACACTCAATGTCCCACTTACCACATTCAAAATCGCCTGTGGCATCCCCTCCCCGTGGAAATATTGAACTCTGGGATGGCTGGGTGTCAGGAATGACCCAGGCCGTTTGTTTAAAATTCTCAGGAACTCTGTGCTTTCATGTCTGTCCCACTGGGAACTCTGCACTGCTGCAAGGGAAAATGTCCAGTCTGGGTCTTAAAGCTAAGGCAAAAATGGAACAGAGCTCCAACTTAGAAGTACCTTGAGAAAAATAGATAACATTGCCATTAGAAGCCACTGAGATTTGGCGATTGTTTGTTACTCAGCAGAATTAGCCTGACTAAATTACAGTCTTCCAAGACACTTCTCAGTGGACTTCACCTTAGACCAGTGGTTCTCAACCTTCCTAATGCTGCAACCCTTTAACATAGTTCCTCATGTTGTGGTGATCCCCCAACCATAAAATTATTTTCAATGCTACTTCATAACTGTAATTTTGCTACTGTTATGAATTGTTTCTGATAGCCTCAGAGGACCCCTGTGAAAAGGTTGTGCAGCCCCCAAAGTGGTTATGACCCACAGGTTGAGAATCTCTACCTTAGACCATTGACAAGTCTTATAGCTTTGCAGGATCTGCTGGTTGACGTATGTATCTCTGCAATGTCTTGTCTTCATGTGAGCAAAGATAAAATGATCTGAAGTCCATTTCCTTAGGTTAAAGCTTAATGAATTGCAAGTTACCAGGAATTAACCCATCTGTGCAACAGAAGGAAACAGGAGGAAGGTACAAGGGACAGTGTTCTGGTACCGCAGCTGGAGCAGAAACACTTGTTCCTGCCCTTTACTATCTCAGCCCTGGTCCCACTGTCACCTCATCCTTGGGGACTTCCACATTAGGGTCTTCCTGAAGTCAGGTGCTGTGTGGGCGATAAAAGCGGGCAGCCCTGAGCTCCAGATCTGCGAGGAAGTAGACAAGAGGGCAGAGCCAGTTTCCTACCTGACTTCTGGTTCCAGTTAGAAGCAGTTAGAGCAGAGAAATTAGGTTCACAAGAGACAGAATCCTGTGCTCTTTCAAGTCAACAAACCTGAAAACGAAATTTGTGGTCCTAGCCCCAGTGACCTAGCTGTAGGATGGATTTCAGGGCAGCAGTCTCAGCTTTGGGTCCTATTCTATGATCCCCAGTAAGCAATCTCTACTTCCCTTCAGAAGTTACTTGAAACAATTCTAGGGATCCTGCAGAGGCAGCTGGAATTTCTCGTACCTAAACAGAACACGGGAAAAGCACACCTGACTGGACAGGTGGGTGCTGTGGAATAATCTTTCATACACAGTGAAGATGTGTTGCTCTCATTGTTAATAAAGAGCTGACTGGCTAATAGCTCGGCAGGAAGAGGCTAGGTGGGAGAGGCTAAGTGAGAACTCTGGGAAGAAGGAGGGTGGAGTCACCAGTCAGATGCAGAGGAAGCAGGAGATGAACATGGCGGGCTGAAAAAGGTACCACCATGTGGTAGAACATAGATAAAAGATATAGGTTGATTTAGGTTCAAAGGGCTAGTTAGTAAAAAGCCTAAGCTATCAGCTGATCTATTATAATTAATAATAAGTCTCTGTAAATAAAATAAGTCTCATGTGGTTATTAGGTAGTTATCAGGTAAGATGAAAACCTCCACCTACAATGGTGCAGAGTCAGTACCGAGGTGTGGAACACAGTGCCTCTGGGGAACACACTTAGACTCCTGCTGGACTCGGGGCTTACTTAGTTCTTGGTTTTGTCTCTCTGATGGTGACTTGTGTTTGCTTTAGAGGAGCAGGGGCTACATTTTACCCCTGCTATGGTTCCTAATTCCCCACCTCTATTCTAGGGCTTGGGTCTTCCAAGAGTTGGTAGGGTTCCCTAAGTTTAGCTTTGTGAGCCCAGGGCCACTCTCCTCACAGCAGTCCCAGAGTAAAGCGCTGCGCTTCCTTAGCCCTTTGTGCTGCTGACCCATCTGTGTAGGCAAGGGAGCTACTTGTTTGTTCCCCGCTGCCCAGACTCGAGATAACCACTTAGAAATTGTACTATTTAAATCACTGCTTGGCTAATCACTTAAGTATATTGTTAGCTAGTTCTTTTATCTTTGGTTAACCCATTTTTATTTTATATTTTACCATGGGGTTCATGGCCTACTGGCAAGGTTCTAACTGACAACTCATGTTTGTCCCCTCTGATAGCAAGTCTGCTTTCTTTCTCCCAGCATTCATTTTAGTTTTTCCCACCTAGCTCTACACTGCCCTATCAGAGCCCAAGTCAGCTTCTTTATTCTTTTATCAATAAAAGCAACACATATACAGAAGGACCTTCTACAGCATTTTCTCTTTTCTGTCTAAATGAAAAGGACGGTTTTAACTTTAGCATAGTAAAATTACATATAACAAAACAGGTATTAAACAAGATTTACAGTTACAATATTTATATTTACTTTATCTTTTAATATAACTAAGGAGTTTAAACTATAATTATAACTATCCATTTTTTTTACTCCATCAAAGACTCCAGAAGGATATAATATTACCTAAGTAAACAGGAAGTGCACTGTAAGCAACTTTTAAAACTCTAGAATTGACAGAGACAGCTCACTGCCTGGACAGTCACCCAAAGTCCTGTATCATTAAAGTATCTGTCTTCAGCCCACAGGCCCATAGTATCCAGTAGACTTTTCCATGAGGCAGAAAATTTTAAAGACTGTTCACCACTATTGGAAGTTTGTCAATCACTTTCTTCTGTGTCCTGAAGAATGTCTGACAGTCTCTTTCATGAAACAAGAACCCCAAAGGACCATCTCACCTTTAGGCAAGTTCAGCAGTCACTTTTCTGTGGGTCCTGCATGTCCAGTTTATACAGCACAACATCAAGCAGTCCAGGCAGGAGCAGTGTCTTGCCCAAATGGCTAACGAACTCCATAAGGAGCCTCTTTGGTGCCCATCTTGCTCTTGAAGTAGCTGGTACTGGCAGGAGCAGACATGTCTCATTGTCATGTCCCAAGTTCTTAAGCATTTTAAATGCCATATTTTGTAGTCTTTGAAAGATCTGAAGAATATCTATCCATCTGAAATACATCTCTGTACATTTAGAAAACCTAATATGACTACAAGCTTGACTATTATAGATGACTATGAACCTTTATTTTTAGTTATTCATTATATTTTTAAATGAGCTGCATAAACGCAATACCTTAATCAAGAGCAGAAATATACATATAACAAAACTGACCTTAAATTTTTATCAATAAACCAAGATCCATACCAATGCAAATCTCTATAGTTTATCCCACTTTAAATGTAAGCAAACATTTATAAACAACGATTTAGGGAATTTGGACATAGTTTTCTCCAAACTGCTTTGTGCTTTCTGTTGGGCAAAGTAATTTTGGGAGTTAACAGCAATCTTTCGGGGGGGGGAGGGGTCCTCGGTCTATCAAAGCACATTCGCCTGGAATGAATCTACAGGTTCTCATCCTCTGTAGAAACAAAAGGACTTTTTTTCGTTTCTGTCACATGGTACTTTCACAACAGGGATAAAATAGCTACCATTGCCCACCCACCCTCACCCCCAGGAGGGGAACATTGCGAGCATTCTGCTGCCTAACCACATCTTGTCACATTTATTTCCTGCTACTGCCTCACCACATGAAAGATGTTGATGGGCCCTGGAACTCCTCCTGGGAAGTGAAGAGGTGCTGCTGTGGGGTTTCCAGCGTCTTGGGAGTTTCCACCATGTAATAGGTACTAGCCATGCCAGGCACTCCTGGCTGCCTTTTCCTCTGAAAAACTCTGTGAGGCAGTCCTAGATTTGGGGGCCAGCCTGCCATCCTGTCCATGAGGCAATCTGAGCTGCCAGGCCCTCCTGCTCATGTGCAGGGTCCAGGTGTCCACATGGTTGGATCTGGTTTCTAGCCAGAACCTTTGGAGGAAGTCCCTGGAGTGATCACTTTGTTCCGAGTCCTGAGGAAACACAAACTCACGACACAAGCCAGCAGCACAGGAGGACTGAAGCCAGCCACGGTCACCCAGCTGGAGAGGCTGGTGCTGTGACAGACCTGTTGCTAACAGTAACAGTGTCTCCCACCCTCAGATGGCGAGGAGCGCCACCCTCCTTCCAAGCCCAATGTGCAGAGATGATCTTGAGTCCTCACTCTGACATCCCTCGTTTGCTGCTTGGGAAGAGAAATCGAGGTTGCCATTAGTAACAGGGATGCTTCCCCGCAGAATCCTTTGCAAGCCTAAATCTGTAAGAATTTCCCTTGTTCCAGGTAACTTTTGAAAGGAAGTAGACAGACTGCTTATTGGGAATCCCAGAGACCTCAGAGAATGGGACCCAAGGCAGAGCTTACTGCCCTGAAGTCTGCACTGCAGTGAGATGGCTGGGACTAGGATCCCATGTGTGCTTTTGTGGTTTGCTCACCCTGGACTCCACCGGAGGCCCTTCTTCATCCCCACTGGCCTTGCAGAACTCAGCCCCCATGTCAGAGTCTGCTCAGTAACTGTCCCCCTGGTTCCTATCAGCTACATTTCCCCACTATAATCTCCAAAGTGCCTCATATACCAAAGATAGTTCAATCTGGTGGGGCAT